TCGTGTTTTGTTATATAAAACATTGTTTCTTATCACCTTTTTTATTCTTTTTGTAAATAATCGTCACCCCGATTTTTATTTGAAAAGACAAAAAGGTTATAAATAGCCAAATAAGTTGAAACAACCATTTTTGAAAAGTTTTTAATATTTTTTTAACAATTTTAACGATTTTTAACAATTAAAACAACATCGAAGTTTTAAAAATAGAATTGTTTAACGTTCAATTATATTATATCGATACATGGTCAAACAGCATTACGTTGATTTTCAAGGCAGTATTGGAGTTTTTGTTTCACATGATTATTTACTTATCAATGCTGTTTGTTTTTTGCGTGTCCAAACACCTATAAAGAAAATATGTTTGTGATCTATGCACACAGGTATAAAACTGGTGAGCGTACCGATATAATGGGCGTACTCTTTTATTGGGCGTACTCGTTATATAAAAAGTAATAATGATTATTTTACACAAATTATTTAACATTAATATATTACATTATTTAACTTTTATTATAATTTATCGAATATACAATCTATTATTAATAATATCCTTTGATTCAAACAAATGTGTTACATTTATTTGACATACTTGTTGTATTATTAATTATTAATTGTCATATTTTACAAATAAATTTAAATTTTGTTTAAGTATAAAAAGACAAATTTATTTTTTTAATATTTGAATGAAAATATGAGTTTTAAATAATAATAATCAACACATTAAAAATCAATTTAAGGATATCAAAAAAATATTGACATATTTATAATAATGAATTTATAACATTAAAAAAATATTAAAGAATTTGGAGTTCAAAAAGAAGATGGACTATAAGAGTATTATATGAACAACCACAACCGAATAGTAAATACCTTATTTTTATATTTTTGATATGAATTGTATCAATAGTATGGGTTAAAAATATGTAATATATTTATATCAACAAAAAACAATATGTGTTAGAGTTTTATTATTAATAAATTATTTATTATTATTTATCTAATTATGTAATTAAAATTGGTTTAATTTATATAAACAAATAAACTTTTATGTTGTATGTATTGTTTTATTATATTTCAACTATCGATCATTTTGACACTTTAATGTTTATTATGTTAAAATTAAGCAAAAAATAAATCCAAACGTGTTAATTTTTATATATTTTTAATCTTTACATATTTATTAATTATCGAAAATATTTATTTAATATTTATAATTATTTAAACTAAATTAAATAACTCCCTTAAAAATAATCAACGGGCGTACTCGATATTT